AAAGTTAAGATTGTCATTCATGAGTTTTCCCACAGGCAGTTAAGACTCAAATTGTTGAGCTGGCCAAATAACAAGTTAAAGCAGTTTTCATTCCATTTTACTATGGACATACTAAAACCAACTAGCTTTCTCTTTAACAGTACAGTAAAACTTCTAGATTTTAGACAAACAATAGTAAAATTGAAGTGAGTTTACAATCCACGCTATTGGACTTAAGTATTAGAAGCATAACACCTACAAATAGATTCCTCTAAAAGAGGAATAAGAAGCATGCTTCAGTACTGCAAGAACATTCCCTATGTTGTGCTGTATTAAGGAAGCACTTTCAAAGGTTACTGTAACATACAGCAGGTTCTGGCATTTAAGTCCACAACTACTCATTAATACAATCTCTTCAAATGTTGCAGTTGCTATGAAATACCATTAAATGACTTACTAAGCAAAGATGGTTCCATTGTAGCCATTCATACAAGATTCAACAATGTTTTTGGCCACACTTGAGAACACTGACTCCTGGGGACAAGGAAAAGAGAAGGTACTTGGCACCACTCATTTAAGTATCTCTTATCAGTGTTATCTATGTCATAACTTCATAATGTATAAAATAAGGTTGGACATGTATCATGACTCCTGGAGTTCTCACAGCAAGACAATACATCCTAAGCCTTTGCGACACAAATCACTCCCTCTGAAAACATTTTTATTCCTTGATAAACTGAAAGAAAAATAATAAAATCACCATCATAGTAACAGCTTTCAAATACATATTATATTAATATGGTCCAGTGCTTTTGATTTTATGTGGTTTATACCATCAGTAGGTCAAAACTGAGGCCATGACAGTTATCAGATCTAGTTAGCTTTCAACATTTGCCACTGCACAGTGGCATATTCACCAAATCTGCACAACTGTTAGCCTCATCTATTTTCACATAATTCTTAGATTTGCAAGAAGAGACGAGTTACTAATAACAGCCTACACTAGGTAGGGTTTGGGGGGGGG